AAATGATGGCGGAGAGAGTCAGATAGATCGAAATTTGGATTTATTGATGGGCGTGTGATGTGTGTGTGTGTGTGTGTGTGTGTGTGTGTGTGTGTGTGTGGTGTGTGTGTGTGTGTGTGTGTGTGTGTGTGTGTGTGATGTGTGTGTGTGTGTGGTGTGTGTGTGTGTGTGTGTGTGTGTGTGTGTGTGGTGTGTGTGTGTGTATGTGTATATATATGAATATATATCCACGTATGTCCTCACACATCGATAAAACACATTAATTCTATGACACAATAAAAAGACAAGAAATTATAAAAACCCAAATAAAAATCCTTCCTTAACCACACAACCGCGTCCTCAGACATCCTCTGTCCGCATCCCTACTACCCCTTCAACCACCCACAGACGGCCTTCAGAAAGTTCACAGCCCGAAAAGGATTGAATATAAATAAAAAAACAGTAAAAAAAACTCCTTCAACAATAGCGCACATGTCCCCAGGAACCAGAGTAACCGCGCAAAAATGGGATTTGAAATAATGAAAGATTCGCCATCGGGGAACGAGTGAAGCGCGCTAAGGGAGGTTCGATGCTTCGTTGGGGGGATTCGGTGCTTCGTTTGGGGCGGGTCGAGGCTTCGGAACGGATTCGCTTCGGGGAGAGGAGAAATTTCGGGGTTTTCGATCAGCTGATGGAGGCGTAGAGGGTAGGGGAGGGGGGGGATATGGTGGGTCACTGATGGGTAAGTGGAGGAATAAGATTAACGGAGGGTGGTGGTATAATGAGCGCCGGTTTTGATATTGTGTGCGTATTCTTTTTTTTCAGATTATGTTTGTTTTTTGTTTGTTTTATCTGTATTCCTCTCTCTCTCTCTCTCTCTCTCTCTCTCTCTCTCTCTCTCTCTCTCTCTTCTCTCTCTCTCTCTCTCTCTCTCTCTCTCTCTCTCTCTCAAATACTTAAGATATACTAAAGAATCTATGATTTTTTAAGGTTAAAAGTACAATGGGATATGATATACCTTTGTTTTCGTATTAAAGGAATTAAATTAAACCGTGCGTATGTATGTGTGTGTGTGCGCGCGCTCGTACGTGTGCGTGTGTGTGCGTGATACCTGTACATAATTAAACCCAAAACAACCCAGGAAAGGGATTTTCATGAGATAATCTACCGTATTTTATACAAGTTTTCGTCTCAGCTCCAAGAGGAGACAACTCATAACCTCGAATATAAAACATATAAGTAAGATCCTTATAACCATTTTTAACAGGTACTCGAATATAAAACATATGTGAGACCCTTATAAACATTTTTTTTTAAACAGGTACAGCATTAAAGAAGTTCATTGGAAACAAATTACACGTATTTCCCAAGAGATGGCGGCTAGATCTGGGTTAAAACCGGACAGGAAATCGCCCAGAGAGAACAGCTGTTACGTAATCTATTTACTGGTAATGAGTACTAAGAAGAAATGAAAAAAAAAAGACGCGGGAGATACAGGTACAAGAATCCTCATGATCACAAACATTACCAAATCGTTTTAAATTTAATAATAAGTAGTTACATGACTGACAAAAAAATATGTGTAAATATATCGCATTAGAACTTCATAAAAAGTAACATATGAAAAAAAAAATACTTATATATACACATACGCTGAATACTCCTGCAATCTGATCGTTTCTTTAATGAAAAGTTAATGTTATAGAGTTATTAGAATTTAATCTTTAAATAACCTCATGTTTTATATTGTGGTTTTAGCCTATCAGTGCCTAATAGGTGCTAAGCCCATATATATATATAATATATATATATATATATATATATATATATATATATATATATATATTATATATATATATATTATATATATATATATATATATGTGTGTGTGTGTGTGTGTGTGTGTGTGTGTGTGTGTGTGTGTGTGTGTGTGTGTGTGTGCTGTGTGTGTGTGTGTGTGTGTGTGTGTGTGTGTGTGTGTGTGTGTGTGTGTGTGTGGTGTGTGTGTGTGTGGTGTGTGGTCTGTGTGTGTGTGCATCATCATAATAATCATAATAAAGGTAATAATGATAATAGCAACAATAATGATAACAATAATAGTAATAGCAATGGTAACAAGAATAACAACAATAATAAAAGTAATAACGACAATAATAATGATAATAATAATAATAAAGATAGAAGTAATGATGATGAAAATAATAATGAAAACTATGATAATAACGAAAATGTAATGATAATAATAAAAGATAAGAGGAATAATATTACCATCATTTTTATCATTATCAGTAGCACTAGCTTTAGTACTGCTTGTAGTTGTAATTATAATAATAGTAATAACAAACATAATAAAAATAATAATGATAACTATAATAATAATAAGAGTAATAATAACGATGATGATAATGAGAATGATAACAATAATGATATTGATAATAATTATTATCTTTATCCATAATTATTACAATAATGATTACAATAATGATAATAATCATGATGATAATGATAAAAAAAAATATAAAAATGATAATGATTACTAACAATATCAATGATGACAAGGATAATAATAATAACAACAATGATTGTAATAATGGTAATGGTAATGATAATAATAAATAACAATATTGATAATGACGGTAATAACAATAATCATGATAATAACAATAATAATAATAATGACAATGGTGATGATAATAATGACAATAACAATGATAATTGTCATGGTAACAATAATGATCAATATTTTAATTAAAATAATTATTATTACAATGATAATATCAATAAGAAGATAATAATCATGATAATTATAATAATAATAATAAAATAATAATAATAATAATAATAATAATAATAATAATAATAATAATGATAGCAATGATAATAATAATAACAATAATAATAATGGCGATGATGATAATCATCATTATCACTATTATGATAAAAATAATAATGATGGCAGTATTAATATAATATGCTAATTCTAATAATAATGATAATAATAATAATATAAATAATAATGATAATAATAATAATAATAATAATAATAATAATAATGATAATAATAATAATAATAATAGTAACAATGAGAATGATAACAACCATTATTATTACTATTATTATTTTAATTATTCAAATTTTAATTATTGTTGCTGTTATCATTTTTATTATCATTATCATTATTGTTATTATTATCGTCATTATCATTATTATCATTATTGTCATTATTATTATAATTACAATAATAATAATGATAATAAGATAATAGTAATATATATCTCCTCATTCATAAAATTGTCAATTTATCTGCGTATGTTTTTGTGTATACATACTTACACACACACACACACACACAACATACATACACACACACACACACACATGTACATGTTTGTCATGTATTTGCACACACACACACACACACACACACACACACCACACACACACACACACACACACACACACACACACACACACACACACACACACACACACACACACACACACACACACACACACACACACACACACACACACAGCACACACACACACACACACACACGCACATGTATGTATTCCTCACAAAGAAAATGTGTTAATGTGGACAAAAAAAAAACAAAATGAATGACATTTATATATTCTTACTTTATGTTCTTCCTGTAGCCTTTGTACCAGATATACTCTTTAAAAATGATTATGTTTTCACTATGACTGTTCTTATATCGTCTATTTTCGAATTATTTCACGTCATAACAACCGTTTATCGCATTTCCATAATGTATTTATTCTTATCCCAGCCACGAGGTTAACCTATCTTTTGAGACTAATATAACGAAGAGAAAAAAATACACTTATACATCAACGGATAAATTAGGGCCATGTGATACAGCTCTCCTTTTTAGGTCATGAAATGAGGTAAGAATAATCCTCTTTATGAATCATAACAGCAAAACCTGCTTAAGAAGTGGGGATGTTTAGATCAGTAGCAACTCGAGGTGTCATGATGTCTGTTCTGATGGTCGTTCAATGAAAATATACCCATTAAAATCGTTATTTTCCATCCTTTTTGAAAACTGAAGAGACCAAAATGATCGACCACATTCACAAAGCATCCGTAACTTTCGTGACGTCATCAAAATAAACCCCCACGTGCTTTTCCTTCCAAAAATAGAAACGGACGCCATGACACCTCCTCCAGTTGCTACTGATCCAGCCTTCCCCACAAAGAAATGCCCGAGCCAATCTAACGGTTAAACAAGCGAAGTGGAGGAGTTGAGGTTAACCACCAATTTCTCGAGAATGAAAGACGGAAAGAAAAACAAAGAGAGAGAACAAAGAGGTGGACAGAAGAGGCCAAAGAGATGGTCAATTGGTCATTTCAAGTTTTGTGAACGAGGGAGAATGAGGGAGTGAGAGAGAGAGGGGAAGGAGAAAGAAATGCGAGAGAGGGGAAGGAGAGGGAGAGACAGAGAGGGGGAAGGAGGAAAGAAATGCGAGGGAAAGAGAAGAGGGAGGAGGGAGGGGAGAGAGAGAGAGAGAGAGAGAGAGAGAGAGAGAGAGAGAGAGAGAGAGAGAGAGAGAGAGAGAGAGAGAGAGAGAGAGAGAGAGAGAGGGAGGGAGAGAGAGAGAGAGAGAGAGAGAGAGAGAGAGAGAGAGAGGAGAAGAAGAGAGAGAGAGAGAGAAGAGAGAGAGAGAGAGAGGAGGAGGGAGAGGAGAGGAAGAGAAAGAGCGAAAGCGAGTGAAAGAGAGAGAGGAGAGAGAGAAAAAAAAATAAGAAGAGGGAGAGAAAGAGAGTCGACAGAAGGAAACCAACAAGACAAGACCAAAGACAATAGCAGAAACGGAGAAACAGACAAGAGACACGGAGAGAGAGAGAGACAGACAGAGACAGAGAGACACAGAGACAGAGAAAGAGAGAAAGAAAGAGAGAACCCTACGTAGAAGCCCGCCGGACGGAAGTCTTCTGACGCCATCGTGACTCACACAGCCCCTCTCTGCCCGGCTGGACGATGCCTCTACGCGTCCCAATGATAAGTTTTCTCTCGGCGCTGGAACGAGCACCACGCGCCTCTCTCCCGCTGCGTCCAACACGTGACTGGCGTTGTGTTGTGCTCTCGATGTTTTTATCTGACCGTTAGGGATCAGGTATATAAAGATTTTAAAAAATAGACAAATGTAGATATTTCGTTCGTGTCGAAACTTGGTAGATAGGTAGATAATACAAAGTGGTATTCGTGTATGGATGTATTTAACTATATGCGTAACATCCAATGGTTTACAGCGAAATATAGTGAATGAAATATAAACAACGATCCCTGCAGTACCAGCGATAAGGTATGTTGATATTCTTGTTTGTGTAAACGTGTATATGCATATAAATGGAAGGATTTATCGTACCTTGTGAATAAGATAGCGACGTCTAACAAAAATCTTTAGGTTTGATGAAAAAATAATAATGGATAGAGTGATTGTTTTCGAAAATGTAGTCAATATTCATTATTTAATTCGTAAGCATGCAAAAATAATACGTATAATCATTCTTCTTTTAACTGGTAGAAACGCATATGCAATACTTACCATCGTTTTAGCACATTCTTCACTTTTCTAATTAGCAAGTAAAGATAATAATAATCATAGACATATTAGAACTAGCTTCCTTTTCTTCACAATAGAAATAGAAATATTTAGACTTTCTTCTAAACCCATCGACATGGCTACGTATCTGCAATTATTTCCATGCCTTTTGTGACAACCATATCTCTCACCTTTATTTATCTTTTTATCTTTACACTCCCTCACTCGTCCTATTAGTACATATAGGATACCTTTAAGTTATGGGCTTACACTCACTTTTTTTTCTTTTTTTCTTTTGCCTCCTCTTTATCTTTCTTTAATTCTTTCTCGACCTTTCTTCTCTCTTTTTTTCTATCGTTTTTCGTTTCTATCTCACCGTCCACTTCTTGCTATATGTCTGTCTGTCTCTGTCTGTCTGTCTGTCTGTCTGTCTTCTGTCTCTCTGTCTCTGTCTCTCTCTCTCTCTCCTCTCTCCTCTCTCTCTCTCTCTCTCTCTCTCTCTCTCTCTCTCTCTCTCTCTCTCTCTCTCTCTCTCTTCTCTCACTATCTCTCTCTCTCTCACTATCTCTCTCTCTCTCTCTCACTATCTCTCTCTCTCTCACTTCTCTCTCTCTTTCACTATCTCTCTCTCTCCTCACTATCTCTCTCTGTCTCTCACTATCTCTCTCTCTCTTCTCACTATCTCTCTCTCCTCATCTATCTATCTATCTATCATATCTATCTATCTATCTATCTATCTATACATCTATACATCTATCTATCTACTATCTATACATCTATACATCTATCTATCTATCTATCCCTGCACACACACACTCACGTGTATGTGCGTTCGTGCGCGTATTGATGGTGTGTATAAACATACATTTATCTGTCAACCCCCTTACCTTATCCCCTCCCTCCCTCCCTCCCTCCCCCACTCCCTCCCTCCCTCCCTACTCCCTCCCTCCCTCCCCCTCCCTCCCCCACTCCCTCCCTCCCTCCCTCCCTCTCCCTCCCTTCCTCCCCCACTCCCTCCTCCCTTTACTTTAAGTCGTTGTCATCTCTCTGTCCGTTTTAAGGAGGTCGAGGTTCGAGGCGGTTCGTATCCGTTCTGAATGGAGGTTCTCCTATGTGACTTTTTATTTCTGATTTTTCTTGTTATCTTCCATTTTTTTTCTCTTATTTCTTTTTTCTCTCTGCGAGGTTTTAATCCATGTTGGTGTGGAAATTGACGTGTATGTTTATCCTCGTTTTAATCCATGTTGGTGTGGAAACTGACATGTACGTTTATCCGCGTACACACCCTCGCGTGTACGCATAAACACGCGCACATACTTTCGCACGGACGCATAGACACGCATACACACAACAGCACATCATGAGGGGCTTTGACATTTCTATGCCACCGGTAATTAACGAGATAATAGCCCCCAGCACTCTCCATTAATGAAAAGCCACTTCACCAGCACTTCTTCTGAACTGCACTGACCTATAGCTTGATGAGAAAATAGGAACTATATAGTTAAGGGAGTAGTATCTTTATTGTTTGTATATGTATTTAAGGGAGTATCTGCATTGCCTGGATAATATATAGTTAAAGGAGTAGTATCTTTATTGTCTGTATAATATATAGTTAAGGGAGTATCTTTATTGCCTGTATAATAATAGTTAAGGGAGTATCTTTATTGCCTGTATAATACATAGTTAAGGGAGTATCTTTATTGCCTGTATAATATACAGTTAAGGGAGTATTTCATTGCCTGTATAATGTATAGTTAAGGGAGTATCTTTATTGCCTGTATAATATATAGTTAAGGGAGTATCTTTATTGCCTGTATAATATATAGTTAAGTTATCTTTATTGCTGTATAATATATAGTTAAGAGTATCTTTATTGCTGTTATAATATATAGTTAAGGGAGTATCTTTATTGTCTGTATAATATATAGTTAAGGAGTATCTTTATTGCCTGTATAATATATAGTTAAGGGAGTATCTGTATTGCCTGTATAATATATAGTTAAAGGAGTAGTATCTTTATTGTTTGTATAATATGTATTTAAGGGAGTATCTTTATTGTCTGTATGATATATAGTTAAGGGAGTATCTTTATTTCCTGTATAATGTATAGTTAAAGGAGTATCTTTATTGCCTGTATAATATATAGTTAAGGGAGTATCTGTATTGCCTGTTAATATATATTGTTAAGGGAGTATCTTTATTGCTGTATAATATATAGTTAAGGGAGTATCTTTATTGTCTGTATAATATATAGTTAAGGGAGTATCTTTATTGTCTGTATAATATATAGTTAAGGGAGTATCTGTATTGCCTGTATAATATATAGTTAAGGAGTATCTTTATTGCCTGTATGATATATAGTTAAGGGAGTATCTTTATTGTCTGTATAATATAGTTAAGGGAGTATCTTTATTGCCTGTATGATATATAGTTAAGGGAGTATCTGTATTGCCTGTATAATATATAGTTAAGGGAGTATCTTTACTGCCTGTATAATATATAGTTAAGGGAGTATCTTTATTGCCTGTATAATATATAGTTAAGGGAGTATCTTTATTGCCTGTATAATATATTGTTAAGGGAGTATCTTTATTGTCTGTATAATATATAGTTAAGGGAGTATCTTTATTGCCTGTATAATATACAGTTAAGGGAGTATCTTTAATAATATACAGTTAAGGGAGTATCTTTATTGCCTGTATAATATACAGTTAAGGGAGTATCTTTATTGTCTGTATAATATACAGTTAAGGGAGTA